CACAAGGCGAGCATGCCACCTACGGAAAGCTACATCAGATTTAGGCCAAGTGCCAATACCTCTTTCGCGAAGTGGCCCCAGCGGCAGAGAGTTTAGAAAAAGAGGGCCTTGAGTGCAAGGAAACAGCTGACCCACCGCCGCATGTTCAACTGTCTCTGCATTGTTGAAGAAAGGACCCAAGTAGAACTCATTACGTTCGACATCGGCGGGCTTGAGAAAACTCGGAGTTATGTATGGGCGACTCAGAAGTTTCTGAAAGTCATCAAAACTAAAGGAGTCGCCAGCTTGAGATTGTGAAGCAGCCATTTGAGAAGGAACGAAATTTTTCAGGGTTACATAGCAGGGAAGCAAAAGATGAACAGTAAATCTTGAGAGAGATGCAAAAAATTTGAGGCGTGGTTTAATGGTGCAATGAAATGGCGTATTTGGGGGTTATAAGGGTTTTGCAAAACGACACACCTTTTCAAGTTGTAGAAGAAAACAATGATTGAAATTCTTGAAAATTTCGAATGTTGCTGGAAATACAAAGTGAATATGGCAAAATTTAATAATTATTATTAATTCTGCCATATTGGGGGGTAATTGTTGACACATAAAAATTCAGCCCAAATCGAACGGCTCAAGGAGTGAAACTCAATTGGAGGATCCCCAAATTAGATAGCCCAAAGAACGAAGCCCAATGAAACAAATCAAGATGAAGGCCCAAATAGGGAGGCCCAAGAACGCGGTAACGCCATCGCCCAAGTTTGCAAGTCGCCCAGAATCTGAGCGAATGGAGTGCCATACAGTCGCCCAGAGCTGTTACTCTATTCTCGCCCAAATCTTCAAGTCGCCCAAGGTCTTAACAAACATAAAGCGTCGTGGTTATCAAGAAGTGCAGTTATCAAAGCAGTTATTAAAGCAGCCCTATCACGTTCCACGATTCAAGGAATTCAATCGAAAGTGGTTGAACGATGAAGAGTAATGGCAGCAGTTAAAAAATGCAGTTTTCATGACAAGTTGGCCATTACAAGGAAAGTGGACAGTTATAGGACGATCAAGCAATTTTTAGGGCGGTTGATCACAAAGAGATCTTCCATGAAGTATAAAAGGGAGAAAAGAAATAGAAGCAAGGGACCGAATAAAAAACTCTCGAACAGAGAACATGTAATTTTAATTTTCTTAACTTAGATTTAAACACTTTTCTTTCAGTAACTCGTGTGCTTGCGCCCCTTGGAGGCACTTTGTTTTTTATTTCCAATTGTAAAGTCATCACCAATAAAAGAACACCCCTTTTTGAGATTTTGTCTCGAGAGGTTTGTCCCTTACACAATCGTCTGATCCTTTTTAATTGTTAGCGACTAACCCGCGCGAAATAGTTTGACTTAATGTGTGATATTAAAATAGATTTGGGTTTTAAAGCATTTTACATACTTGATGTCTGATGCTTGATCGCGTATATCAGATTTGTGAATTGTTGATTGCACTTTATCTCATTTCCCTTCTGCAGTGCCACCCTATCCCCTTACCCACCAACACCACCACCATTGTCCTGGACACCATGTTTACACGGAAGTATCCCGGTAAATAGAACCATCATCGCCACCCCAGTCACTGCTGCCATACCACAGTCTCAGCCAATTTGCATCTCATCGTCTCACCAGTAAATGTCCTCGACCCACATATTTGTGCCACCACTAGAACACCCAAAAGTTTTCCATTCTTGTGTAATGCCCCCTCATTTTCCATCTTCGATAGAGGGTCTGTTTGGCATAATATTTATTATTGCTTATTGTAACAGAGTTTTTTGAGGAAAATACATTTATTTTTGTTTGAAAATCAATTCTTAAAAGAGCTTCTAAAAATTCTTCTAACTAAAAGAAATATTTTTATAAAATTAACCAAACAGATACAAAATCAACTTTTAGGTTTCAAAAGCTCCTTTTAACTTTTCAAAAACCATGTCAAACATGCCTCTTCGTTGTATTTAGTCTTCCTATCTCATGGTATTTGTGAAAAATTTCTTTAGGTATGAAATTCTGAACAAACTGTTTATGATAAGTCTAAGAAATGTAAAGATAGTCAGGTTATCATGCCTGTTCTACAAACGGATAAACACTGGATTACATATAACCTACTTTTTTTCCTTCAAAAAAAATTGAAGATACTTGATTGTTATTGATGATTGTTTGAGCCTTGTTTTTGAGAGAGTAAATTTTAAAATAGTGATTTTTGGAGAATATGTGATTAAAAAGCTTGAAAAAGTTTTGAATTTACATGTAAAATTATTTTATTGAGATAATATGCTGTTAAAAATGAGTTTGAGGAAAAATAATTTTTAAAGGATATGGCTCAAAAGGGAGCTAAATGTTCCGATCACCTTTGAAGCCCATGAATTATGCTTTGTAACCATCTACAAATACATTCCATACTTTTTCAAACTATTCAATTTTATCAAGAAAGATTATCAAATACTCTAATTCACATTTTGTATACAAGAACGAGCGTCGGCTATAAGTATCAAAAACAAGATACAATTTGCTTAGAGATAACAAATCAAATTCACGATGATACTCGAATATGGAATTCTAATTATTGCATTACTTCTAGGATTTTCAATCCACATAATCCTGAAAATGATCATGAAAAAATATCTATTTATATTTTACAGAGATATGACAAAAATGTCATAAAATACTATCATGTTTTGTTATTAAGTTACATGCCTAAGCAATAATACATGTTAACAAAATATTCTGGTATCATGTTCAAGTAATATCAAGTGAAAATGTTTTGCATTAATCAAAATAATAGAAGACGCAACACATAGCTTATGCATGAGAAAGAACGTAAGATGAACAAAGTAGTGTGTTGATTTATGTAAATACAGTGTGTGCAAGTGTCAAAATGTTTGATTATAGTTACAAATATACGAATATTTGAGTTAATACTTTTGATTTTTAGTACTCTTTATTTTGATATGTTTCAACTAAAATATGCCTATCTTTCTAGAATACGGATCTCTCTTTTCTAGTACATCGACAGTTTTAGTTGATTTTCTTTGCAATGTGAAGATGGATGGTGTGAAGTGCCAACTCCAAAGAAAATTGGCAAAAAGAGACCACATGGCTAAACATGCTAAAAGGAGTACTGCTATTCATAAATGGTGTTTATTGGTCGAATGTTCTATGGCATTTAGATGACATTAATTGATTTGTCCGATTAATTTAAGATGATAATTAAGATGACAAATAAATTAAATACAAAATGTAATGTTGATAAAGATTACGAGTTCGATGACCTGTCAATTTTTGACAAGCAGGCCGATGGAGTAGAAGAAAAATCTTACTTGGTAACATTTTGCTTAAAGATAATATCCATAAAATGCACAAATATCGTGTGCTAGGGGGACTATTAAGGCAGGTCAATTTCAAAAAACAAACAACATTCAAGCTTACTTTTTTTTTTTTAAATAAAAAAATCACGAGGTACAAGTTGCACCAAAAAATTGCACAGAAATTCCGTGCACTTTGAAAGTCAAAGCGCCACTTATACACTCTTGTCTTGTCTCTAGCAGCGACAACGTTTACATGCTGAAGTCGGATAACTTTATGCACTGGATTCCCTATTTTACCCCCCAGATTTAACAAAAGTCCTTGTAAATTCCAACCCTTCAACGAGTTAAAATCTCGTTTTTGGACAAAGTATAACAAACGTGACGTGAGAGACCTCTTCTTGTGCAGGTGAGGGTATGATGGTCATTTTAACTGACATGTTCAGCTTCCCTGTTTTAATTGAACAAATATGATATTCGCACCTGGAGACTGCGACACACGCGGGGACAATATTGATTTTTATTTTTAGAATATTTATTACATATATACAAATATTATTTTATAATAGTTTGAATACACAATTATGCTTGGGACGAATAAGCCAGTTCGATGTCTGTTTTTACTTCTTCAATGAATTTTAAGTAAAAAAAAGAGCCGTTGAAGTGCACTGTGGATCCCACTTGTGAGAGGTCTAATAACAAATGATGGCTGTTTTTTTATTTCCAATTGGCAAAAAAGTCAATTTTTTGGCTCCAAAAATTAGTCCCAAACAAATTCTCAATTGGCTCGAAGATTATTTCTTGATTCTCCTAGTCAAATGTATTATTCATGTTTTGTTCTTATAATATTGATATAGTACTATATGATATTTTATTTTTGAGAAATTAATAAGTAAGATGACATTCATGTGATTTTTTGAAGTTTAAAACATATAAGTTCTTATTTTTAAAGGGAATAAAACATTGGACGAAACATCTACTTAACGTATGGACTAAAGATTTTAAGATAATCACAGCATAAATATTAACAAACTTAACAATATGAATGATATTAACTTACTTAATAATATCAATAAACAATATTGACGAACTTAATATGCAACATAACTATTTTCCTCCCATATATGGAAATAGAAAAACTGTACATAATGTCAATTTATACATAAAGTTACAATTGGACTCTAGTCTTTTTTTCATTTCTTTCAGATAAAAATTTCGAACAAGACAAGGAACCAAATGCTAACAAATCACAAATATCAGTACTCCAATACATTTCTTCGTTTGAGTTAAATATGTCATTGAACTGAAAAACTATTAGCCCTTGTTTGAGTCTTGTTTTTTTTATAAGAATAAATTTTTGAATAGTGTATTGATGAGAAATATGTAGTTAAAAGATAAGAAAAAATTTGAATTTACGTGTAATATTATTTTATTGAAGAATGTGTTATAAAAATAATATCAAAAATATTGTTTTAAGACTGTAATTTTATTAAAATTGAGACTCAAACAGGGCTTAGACCTCGTTTGGCCCCAATTTTGTGGAAATAAAAATGAGTGAAATGGTACTTTTTTTGAAAAATGAGTAATTGAAAAAGAAAGAAAAACTTTTCGATATACGTGTAATGTTATTTTATGGGAGATTACGTGATTAAAAATAAGAGAAAAAAATGAAATATAATAAAATGGAAATTAATGGGCCAAAGAGGGGCTTAATTTCATACAATTTTATATTTATATCGTGTGTGCTCAATCCGCAACAGGCGCGTGAAGAAGCTTTATTCTGCTTGCAACTACATCTACCGGGCAGTTATGACGACCACTCAGCATTTCCGTAATTTTCCTAAAAAACAAGGGCATATTTGTTAGAATCTAAAAACCCCTGGGGCCCATCGTCATTTCTTCCTCACTCCCACACACAGACGGCAGTCTCGGCACTCCCACACACAGCTCCGTCCCACTCCCTATATATACTCCCAATCCCAAATCTATACGTACAGAACACTTCCTTACCAGCAATGTCGGCCTACGCCACCCATACGGATCCCTCGATTTGGCGTGCCACTGCCGGCGCCGCAGTCGAAATCCCAACTGTCAATTCCCGCGTCTACTACTTCCCACAAGGCCACCTGGAACACTCCTCCCCAGTCAGAAACAACAATATTTTGCTCAAGACCCATTTGATTTCCTGCCAAGTCCTCGATGTTTCATTACTTTCCGACTCTTCCTTCGACCAACCATTCGCCAAACTCAGTCTTCTTCCCCTCCAGTCACATGGGCAGCACGTGATTACGGATAATGTTGAGAAAAGGGAATTGGACGAAAGCGATGTGGTTTCGTTCGCGAAAATTTTGACGCCGTCAGATTCGAACAACGGCGGGGGATTCTCTGTTCCCAGATTCTGCGCCGACTCGATTTTCCCGCTGCTCGATCTCTCGGCCGAACCTCCGGTTCAGAATCTTGTTATTAAGGACAGTCAGAACAATGCATGGAAGTTTCGACACATTTACCGAGGTACGCCGCGTCGCCATTTGATCACCACTGGCTGGAGCCGGTTTGTCAACAGCAAGCGGCTTGTTGCGGGAGATTCGGTGGTTTTTATGCGGAAAAAATCAACCGGCGAATTGTTTGTCGGAATTAGGCGTGCGGTTCGGGAGACTGTTAGCGTTTGGAATTATCCAATGGCTGTGGAAAACTCGACAGTGAAAAGAAAGTACGGTAATAATTGCAATGGTGGTGATGGGAAAGAGAAAGAGGTAATAGAGGCAATTGAGACGGCAGAGAAGGGGATGGCGTTTGAGGTGGTGTATTACCCGAGAACGGGGATTCCAGATTTTGTAGTGAGCACGGAGAAAGTGGAGGACTCGCTTAGTTTCTGCTGGAGCGTAGGCATGCGTGTTAAGATGGCTGTGGAGACTGAGGATTCCTCACGCACGACTTGGTTCCTGGGCACTATTTCGTCCATGACTTCCTCCGGAGGGGTGCCGGGGGGTGATTCTCCTTGGCGCATGCTTGAGGTATGTATACTATTTGGCGCATGCTTGCTGATTCTGTCATTTTCAAATGAGGATTGTGTGTATAAGATCTTACGTTTTGTGGGTAATTGGGTCTAGGAATTGTCTTAAAAGTATGCGATAACATTAGAATCTGGACATTGAATTATTACGTTGTTCTTCCGTTGCCATGTTGATTGGAGTTTCTCAAATATGTAATGATAATGTTGTATGGCATGCGTATGAGGTATACGGACTCAGTGCAGATCCAGGATGGGATGCCGTTGACTGTTGATAGTCAACGACCGTAATAGCGACTAGCGAAGTCATTTATTAATATTTAATTAAATAATATTAAAAATTCTTCAATTTATTATTTACCACACAAATTCCCCAATTTATCAATATAATTTCATATATCAAATATTCTCAAATTCCCATTTTTCATAAATCATAAACATTAGCATTCAGCAACAAAATCCCCAATGTTCTCAAATTCTCAAATTCACAGAATCCCCAATTCTCAAATTTAGAAAAATCAAAATCCTCTACAGGCTCACAAAAACATCCATAACTCGTAAAAATAATTCATAAAATATAAATCACAAATAATCATAATAAAAATAACCTAAACTCTAAAAGAATAAAAAATGAAAAAGAGAGAGGCATAGAGCAGACTCACTGATGACCTACTCTCAACAGCGTAGCAGTGGCAGAGCAAGAGGCGGAGAGGCTAAGTGTCATCGATGGGTGGACGCAGGGCAGGGGTTGGGGCTGGGTGCAAGACTTCAAGGGAAAGGGTGAGGGATTGAGATTTTGTAGTAGATTGCACAACTTGACAATTGCTACTGTTTTTTCTTTGCAATTGAAATAAGATTAGGCATTTGGTTGGGCCTCTTCTTTTTTTTTTTAAAAGGTGCCCAATAACAAAAAAAAGGCCCACTAAAATAAAAAAAAAAGAGCCCAATAACTCATCTTCATTCTTCAACCTCCATTTTTTGAATCTTCTCTGCACATAGCCACTCTTGACCGGTGATGGTGATTCCGGCAGAGTCAGCATGCACGGCCGCACCCCCTTGCCAGGTGCTGGCTCCACCACTTTATGCACTTGTTTGTGGATGCGTGCTGATTGTGTATTTGCATGTTGTCGGTGAATGATCATTATTTGTTGATAAGATGATTTGTTTTGTGTGTAGTCGTGGCTGGAAACTGTCTCAAGTACGATTTGATAGATTGGGACAGCTATGATAATAGTCTAGACTGGACGCTAAATTGTTATTTTCTTGTTCCATTGCCATGTTGATTAGAGTTGGTTTTCTTGAATTTTTAATGATAATGTTGTATGGAATGGTTAACCTGGTCTGATGCTAGAATTTGGACCTCTGATGAAGAATAGCAGTGTTTATTCTATGGGAGATCAATCAGTAATTCTGTACTCTGGATTTGATTGGATGTGGTGTAATGGCGAAGAATTTCATTGTTTGTTTATTGTTGTTTAAGTGGTAATTTTGTACGTTTGATTTGGTCAGATGGTATAATGAGCAATTAGGTCTTGGAATTGTCTTGAGTAAGATGTTGAGGGGATTGCAATCCTTATAAGGGTGTCCGTATAAAAAATATCAGAAAGTCTCCTAAGCAAGTGAAGCAACCTAATCTCTTTAAAGCTGAGACAGCTCATTCATTTAAATGTACTTCTTTGATCTTGTGACGAGCCGCGTGTGCCTCCAAAATATACACCGCCCCTTCACTGTTCTTCTTTCTTGCTCTTTCATTTTAGAGGGATTATAGTAAGCCCCTCCTTGGGGAAAGCTGCAATCATTCGGAATTCCCTAATCCTCCCTTCCCAAAAGCAAGATTTTATTGGGAAAGCTAGCCTATAGTGTACTAGACTGGACATGAGTTATTATGTTATTGATCTGTGCCTTGTTGATCGGAGTTGGTTGTAAGCCCCTCCTTGGAGAAAGCTGCAATCATTTGGAATTCCCTAATCCTCCCTTCCCAAAAGCAAGATTTTATTGGGAAAGCTAGCCTATAGTGTACTACATTGGACATGGGTTATTATGTTATTGATCTGTGCCTTGTTGATCTGAGTGGGTTGTCTTGAATTTGTAATGATAATGTTGTATAACATGCTTAACCTGGTCTGATGCTAGAATTTGGACTTCTGGCGAAGAGTCAATTTTTGTTTTTTGGGAGGTCAAATGTTAATTCTGCACACTGGAATTGATTGGATGATGTTGTATAATGGCAAAGAATTTTATTGTTTGTTTTATTGTAGTTCAGGTGGTAATTTTTTATGTTTGTTTTGGTTGGATGCTGCAACATGCAATTGGGTCTGGGCATTGTCTTAAGCAAGATGTCAGCAGCCTTGCGATCCTTATCAGTTTACTATAAAAGCTCCAACTTTGCAAGTGAAGGAACCTAGCCCCTTCAAAGTTGAGATAACCCATTCATTTAAATGCACTTCTAGGATCCTGATGATGAGTAGGGTTGGACAAAACTCCCGAACCCGAACCTAATCGAGCAGTTCTTCTTAATTTAAATTCCCGAACGGGTATTTGAATAGAGAACTGACGGGTTTGGTTAACTTCTCGGGTGTAGATCAAGAACCAAATCTCTCTAATTTTTTTAATTAATTTATTTTAAATAAGCCAAATTATTTTATTTTTTCTAAATGAATTTGTTAACTAATTAATTTATTTCAAACGAAAGATTATCCTATTTCTAATTTTCAGTTCAAAGTCAATTTAATCAAATTGACCTAAATTTTATCCAAATGTGTTACTCTACTGCAGCGCTGTTTCTACCGTTCCGAAAAAATTAAATTGAAGTTTGGCAACGCTTCTCTTAATTATTTTGAGCTTGCTATCTTCCTCTTCCTGTGATTTCAACAATCAAATCTATAAAGAACTTAGTAAAGAGAGGCGCAAAAGACACATAAGATTAGATTACGTTATTTTGTAAGAGATAAGATTGAACATATCATTAATTGAATTCATATAATTTTGTAACTATTAAAAAATTTAATTATATTATGGAACTTGGAGACCGAATGGAACCGAACCCGAACGGTTCCATAATTAAATTTGGACTCGATGGTTCAATTTACTAAACGCCCGAAAATTTCGGGTCCAGTACCACATCCAGCCCTATGATGGGGCATGCGTCATTGCCTCTGAAGTCCCTTCACTGTCCTTTCTATCTCTTTCATCTTGGAGGGATTATAGGATGCCCTCCCTCTGAGAGTTGCAATCATTAGAATTTCCTTAAATCTTCCCTTCCCGAAGGAAGATTGTATTTATTGGGACAGCTAGGAGATAGTGTATTGGACTGGACATTGAGTTATTATTTTATTGATCTTGAGCCATGTGTGAGTGGAGTTGGTTTTCTCGAATTTGTAGTTAATGTTGCTTGGCATGCTTAACCTGCTCTGATGCTAGATTTTGGACCTCTGGTGACGAGAATATCAGTGTTTATTTTGTGGGAGATCAATTGATGAATCTGTATACTTGATTAGATTGGATGCTGTATAATCATGAAGAATTTGAAAGTTGGTTTTATTGTAGTGCAAGTGGTAATGTTGTTGATAAGATTCAAATGGGTTTGAACAATTAATCAACAGAAAAGATGAGATGCAGCAGAACAACCAACCAATACTAGCTAACTCAAGAGATAACTGAATATCGTTTATTGATACCAAGGGAATTACAGAAATGAAAAGATCATATAACCTTTCGAGTATTCCTCTCCACTCTCTTCGACTCAAATTCTTCCTTTTCTTCCAAAGATCTCTGCTATTCACTTACATAGGCCTCTAGCAATTCTAGCAACTGATTCTGTTTCCTCCATTCCGTTTAATTACCAGAATTAGTTGTTGCCTATTGTTGTTGGTTCCCGCCACTTGGTATTCAACCTCCTTAGCTCTTCTCGAATAAGTACATTTAATTAGGGGTCCATCAGTTGTATGATATGGTGGGTGCTATAATATGGAAAACAATTATAGCGGTGGTGGTTTAAGCTTGGTTTTGACCAGTTCTATCATGCTATATTATTGCAAACAATGTCGTCGTTTTTTTTTTGCTGAAGTTTGAAGGGTCAATTGATATTCATGATTTGCTTGGATGTTTAATTTTAGACGAATAAAGTTGGCATTTCTTTCCTTGGTAACTTTTATGGATAATGACAATGTCAGTTGGAAATTCATAGATCAGTGGTGAAAGTCACAAAGTACTAAAATTTTCACATATGGTCACTGGGTGTGTTGTTTATTTTACTAATAGATAATGATTCCATCATTCGTGGCACTTGAGGTTCTATGAATTCTGGTTTCTTCAAGGTCCTCAGATTTAGAGGCCCTTTCTTTTGCTGGGGAAGATGTTGCCAAAATCTTTTAATTGGATTGCTGTTACCAGAAACATCGTGTACTTTGCTCTTCATCAAGTTTTACATGTATCCCATAAATATTGAATAAAGAATGTGATATCACACAGCTGTATTCCATTCTTCCTGTTTAACTTTGCCTGAAGATCCTGTTTTGCTGTTGCAGGTGACGTGGGATGAACCTGAAGTTCTGCAGAATGTGAAGACAGTAAGCCCCTGGCAAGTTGAATGTGTTCTGCCCGAACCACAGTTTCATTCTGCACTTCATCCTCTGAAAAAATTCAAAGTCCGGAAAACTCCAGGGAAGCTACCCGATGGAGAGGGAGAGCTCTTCAGCCCTACTACAGAGTCGACCGACTTGATGATTGGACAATTGAACTCATCAATGTTCAGTTATAATTCATTTCCTGCTGGCATGCAGGGAGCCAGGCTAGATCAGTTTTGTGCCACTTTATCTAACTCCCACAGTGATAATTCGCTTCAAATGTCTACTAATTACATGAAGAACGGCACACAACCTGAACTGAAAATCTCCACAGAACTAAATATCGGAAGTTCGCGTGTGGACAATTTATCAAGTGATAGTCAGAGCAGTGTGAACTTATCTTCCACTGAGTTAGTTGGAAAACAGGGATCTGTTTCTTCAATCCAGTTGTTTGGAAAGATCATTTCTACAGTAGAGTCTGTCGAAGCTTGTTCTGACAACAATGTTAGTTGTACTGAAGGTGAAAGAAATGCCTTGTACAGTGAGAGTGATGCTGTTATTGACAAGCAAGGTCCTTCTTCTACAGACTCTAGTTCAGAACTTTTGGATCATTCTTAACGAGGCTTAGCTATTGCAGCATGTTCTATATGAATTAGTTTTTCTTGCTGACAATTAAATGCTGTACAGGTATTCAATGTTTCCCCTTGAATCTTGCTGTTGTTTTGTCGCGATGAAACCAATAGCTTCTTTATTCTTGCAGTTTACAGTTGTATTAGGAGCATCAAAATTCCTTATTTGATAACAATTTGGAACTTGGTTAATTTCTTCTTATCATTATTGAGAGAATGACGTGACAATCCATTAGTTTGGTTCCATGGCATAAGGTTTTTTGGTTGCTCAACTTAAACAACCAAGTTGTTTTGCATTCGACTAGATGTGCTTCTCTGCCTGAAAGAATACCACAGCAAAGCTGTTTTTTTTTTTCTAATGGAGATCAATAAAGTGAAGATATGTTTTGCTAATCAATAGCTTACTTAAATTAACAAGGCTATAGCTCCTTAACTCCTTACCTCAAGAAGCCGGTAGCTCTTAAGCTCAATAATGTAAGTACCATTTTCTCCCTAACCCTTCTGGGAGAATACTGGGAAGAGGAAAGTTACAGATTGAGCACTTGAGAAGGACGGAGACCTAAGCATGAAAATGAACAATTTAACCTTTATATTATTCTGGCTGGGCAGAATGTTTGACCCTTTTTCTAGTGAGTTTAAGCTTGTAACTATTCTTATGTCGAGGAGTTTGCTAGTCTTCTTCCTGACCTCCAATAGCATTTCTGTTGCTATTATTTTGTGTAATTATTTGAACATTTTGTGCAGGTAAGTGATTAAGGTTGGTTGAGGCAGGTCCTAGCTGACTTTACAAGTAGCAGCTTTAGTTGAGCTTTCTTTTTTACTCAGACTTATGGTGACTTTTAGCTAGCAAATGTAGATCGTTGTTATGATGTTGAGAACCTAACTGTGGTTTTAGATTTTATGAATTCATATTAAATTAATTTGATTTGATATTCTAAACTTGTATGATGGGGAATTTTCATGCTTATTCACATCATGTCTTTGTGGTTAAATTTTTTATAGTTTAGACATTCCTTATTTTTATTTAAATTACATCTCGTGAATTTTTTAATGCACTTGTTATTGTTCTTATTAATTATTATAATGTGCGTATAGTATGTATAGATCGAGATCAACCATTACGAAAAACAAGAATACTTTTTGATGAATTTATGTTCTTAATGTGGAATAATAGTTGCAATTGAAGCTTCTTTGTGAAAAATTTAAAAAGAAATCACATTTTTAATTATTAATAAGGTTAATTAGAACAAAAAGTCCCTACCTTTAAGTGTTATTGTGCAGAATATTCATACCTTTCATTTTTGGACATTTTCACCATTATTTTTACTTTTTATTGAAGAAATCATTATTTTAATTCAATTTTTCAATTAAAAAAAAAAAAAGTAAAATGGCAAATGTACCTTCCTATTTAAATGAAAAAAAAGAAAAAATTAAATAATAAGTTGCAATCACACTCTCAAACTTTTTAAAAAAGTACAAACGAGTCCAACTAAATTATTAAAAGGGTAATTAGCAAAAAATGTTACTACCTTTCAATATTATTGTGCAAAATGTTTATATTTTTCATTTTTGACATTTTCACCTTTATTTTCACGTTTTATTGCGAAAATATGAGAAAATTATTGTGATAAACTTATAATGGCTTCCATTAACAAAAATTATGTAGACATGGATGAATACCCCCATCAATATTGGATTACAAGCAACACGTATAAAAGATCTAATTTATTTTACATTATATCAATACCATATTAGATTCCAAGAAAGGCATGGGAGTCTTTGGGATGGAAAGCTTCGCATTCCTTTCGATCTTGTACCCGATAAGTACCCATTGGACCTTTTCCCCTCGAATCAGACAAACAAAGAAGGAAATCCCATTGAGTAATGTGCCTTCTTGGTGAGTTTGGACACAATTTTACACCTTTGTTGGAAAATAATTCAAATCACGAATGAGATCAGTATGTAATATCCCCTATTTTCTTCCTTAACTAACAAATTACGAAATAATATCAGATTTTATTGTGAGAGCAAGGCTTGATTTATTGTTGGTGAGATCCATTTTTGAAATTTAAATCAGAGTAATTTCTCGGATAGCAAATGGAAAATCCATGATAGATCAAGCTTCAAGCCTATACATACTTTACTGAAATATAGGTAGTCCTCTTTTTGTACAAGAACATCGGATCTAACTTCTACTAATATTAAAAATTGATTGTTAATATAAGAATTGTTGGTGGTTAACAATTTGAAGCGTCTAGAAATCATCCTTTAAAATAAAGCCCTGTTTGATGTCCATTAAAAAGAGTTTATTATTATTATTTTTTTTTTTGTATGGGATCAGTTTTGGTATAGTGATTTTTGAGAATGTATGGTAAAAAGTTGAAAAAAAATTTAGATTTACAAAGAAAATATTTTATTGTGAGAATATGTTATTGAAAATTAGTTAAAAAAATAGGGAATTTATGAAGAATGATTGACAATGATTTAAAAAATGATGATTTTTGCAATATAATATGAAAATAAGGACAAAAATGTCAATAAATAAAAGATAAGGACATTTTGTATAGTAATATTAATAGGTATTGACGTTTTGTGCTAATTAATTATCCTTCTAATAATTTATTTAGAAAATGGATAAAAATAATGATTTCAACAGTGAAAGATGAAAATATCAAAAAAGAAAGTTATGCATTTTACACAATAACATTGTAAGGACATGATGTTTTGTGCTAATTATCTCATTAATATAATATTTTTTAAATATAGCTCTTCAAAATTCAAATGTATGTAGTGTATTGTTGATACTAACTGAAAATTTGTTTTATTTTTTCTATTCTGAGCATCGAACGGTACAAAATTTCCTTTAAATTGAATTGAACAAAAATAAAGTGTTATAAGAATTTCTAAATATTGAAAGTAACATTTATTCATCCGACGACAACATATTTATTCTTGTTTTAGATTAAATTGTACATATCATATAGGAGTTTTCAGTGCAGATGAAAACTTGGAGACTTTACATTTTGTAATACTTCATTCCAAAAAGTATTTTGTCACGTTTTGGCTCTACGCAATCCTCTCTCTCGGTAAGAAACAGCCTGAACCACGCACAGCAAGTGTTTTCCAAAGCAACTCTGAACCCAAGTATCCGGAAAAAAAAGCAGAATATTTGATGGAAGATCGGTAAATCTTATCGAACATAAAAAATAAAAGATCTACAGTGGCTGTGGCCGCGTCTGGACGATGAAGATGTCGTTGCCAACTAAACATCCTTCAACATCCTGAGGACACCCGAACTCCCGTTCGAGGAAGAAACCAACCACCCCCAGACGCAAGCCTAGCTGTTGCCGGAAAATGGGGTCGACTGTTAACGGTTTTCTGCTGTAGTCTACAGTTAATTGAAGCACTTCTCCATCAGCAGGACCACTGCCACTCACCACTAATTCCTTGCTGAAATTTGCGAATGCCAAAGTACGCACTGACCCGTCAAATTTACCGATCGCGAGGCGCCATGGAGTGCCCCTTGTGCCTGAAGCTAGAGTTTCACCGAGTCCCGGAGCAACCTCAGCCTCGACCAAATTATCGTTCTTGTCCGTAGGGCTTAACGTGTGAAGAACAAAGGACAGATCCGGCGAAAGCATTTCTTGCACCAGAACAGCCATCACAGCCGCCTCCTGAGGCACCCCAGCAGCTCTACGGCTTAAAACTGCTCTCCGGGTATATAGCGAAGCCCAAACACGTCCAACAGCCTGTCCGAACACTATCGGATTTGAAAGGCTGACATTCGGAATTGATTCATAAAGCCCGGCAGCAGACATTCCAGCCAAGTCCTCGACGTTTGCACTAGAGCGGACCATTAAACATGCACTGTTCTGGAAAATTCTTCCTAAGCTTTCAAAGATTTCTTTTGGAGGTTGCAATGAAGAAATCAGCTCCTGCAGGTCATTACAGAGTTTATCAAGTTCTCCATCGATTTTAGCTGTTTCAATATGTCCAACCAAAGATTTGTATGTTTCCATCGATCCGCTTCGTTCCAAAGCCATCTCCATAGATCCAAAAGGTATTACTGCTCCAGCCGGCACTTTAAACGACACTGGAACCCCCTGGTCATTGTAAACTGCCATTCAGCAACAGACTACAAAGTTAGAAACGACATGCACGCTGTTATATAAATGACGAAGATGGAACGTCAAATATCAAGCTTTGCCTTGACGAAATTATATGACAAACTCTGCAATTTGGATTCACATATTTTGTAGCAGCACAAGAAGTTAATGATCTCTACATTACCTGAATGTCTCAGCATGTTAGATAAGCTTAAATTTTTTACTTCAAGTAAATGTAGGTAGAAAAGCAATTTTTTAATTAGTCGCTGTTGACAATGAGTAATTTATTGTTCTGACAGTAAGAGTTACATTCTAAATAACTTTCTTACAAACAACAAATGAACATATCCAAAGTAATTTTTACATTTTTTTGAATACTTAACTAAACATGCTCTTGCTATGAAAAATGTTAAAAGCACATCTCAGTCACTGAATGAACAAATATTTGCACCATTATAATGTATTAATGAGATGCTTTCATATATGAGATTCATGAATTACATAGCTGCACAAAAAGTAATTTTCATGAGCTGCTTCTGGACATAATGTGGTTCATTGACTGCCAGAGATGAAACATTTCAATTCAAGGAGAAGAAAATTGAATTTGAAAAAGAGAACGCGAGAATTTGCGGTACCTTTACTAGATGCTGCGGCCAAAGAAGATAGGCGACCACAAGCAGCAGCTTTTGCACCAGAACTTTGTAGATCAGCATCTCCAAGAAGTACAACACCACCTCGACTAGATTTGCTCTGAATGCCGATATGGCGTCTTAGAAAATTGATTTTGAGATAAAGGATCATTGGAAGTGATTTAGAAAGTTATACCTGATTTGATTTAGAAGTTTTAACGGCAAGTGATGAAGAATTATTTTTCATAGAGTTTCCAATTGTCGGTGAAACAGTGTTCGATTGTTTTTCCAGCGGAATATTACCGTCACCATGCTCTGTCAAAGCCGGAGTCACGTTGACACCAGCAGATGATGCTTCAATCCTGAAAAGAGTGGGTAAGGAAATGGGCAACAAAAGAAACCACTTTTAAGTAGTTCTATCATCTGACAGCAACTTATCATAGAAGTGGTTGAGCTTGTGTTTATATATATATATATACACACACAACGAAAGAGTGTGGAAATATTGAAAGAATATAACCTCACTGATTTCCCGCTCATATTTTTTATATTAGCAGATTTATCATCGTCTTCACAGGTCACAAATACCACTTTCTCCTGTAGATCACAAGTAAATGATTGATTTCATAATTTGATAATCAACGATGGTTTATATAATTAGAAAAAGGAACAATAAGACTTGCTTGCCGAGCCCTAACACCAAGATGTGATAAATGAGGCAACTCTTGCAGAAGTATAACTCCAGTTATGTTGGCCCCAGCAGCAGTTACCTGGCAGACGGCCCAACAACATAAGTTTAGGACATGTTTGGAATACAGTATTAGACAGGATAGATCAATGAACATAGTATTTCCCATTGTTGTCTGAGTCCCTGCAAAACATGTTAATGTATATTTTTCCTTGAGAAATTCGTGTTTAATCATACAAAAATATTTGACTTCCTACATTCTAATACTCGAACATTGAGATCTGTAACATGATGCACAACCTCTTCATCTCCATC